AAAATTAGAGCGAACCGGTGAAAATGTTTCACGATAAACCATTCAAGCCTCAGCTGTACATGTACGAATGAAGTTTCTCGGAGTTGGTGAATGACGATCCTATATCAGAAGGGTTGAAGTCCTCTGATAGTGATACTATTTGATGAAATGTTCGATTCGTAGGCAAATTTGACAGCAGTAAAAATATACATGCAACGGAAGGTATGTAAACGCATATCTAGCACATCACCACTGTCTGAAGAGGGAGCATCGTTAACAACCGCATATAACGGCACAATATTAATAACATAGTTTTGGAGCTAACGTCGCAACAAGACGCTTTCAAATATCGAATTTAATGAGCTCATATTGATAAAAAATCAAGTTTTCAGGGTTTGACGGGTGTTTTATGAACTTCTAGGCATGAGCTAATTAATGTTTTTCTGTTTTGCAAAAAGAAAGTTTCAGAGGCCTTCTGAAAAACCCTTAGAAAGGAAAAACTTCACTCGAAGTTCAAATTTTAACTATGAGGTCTGATTTTACTTGGAAAAATTACATGGTTTATCAAATAATTTACTTTATCGTTGAATAATCGTTTCAGATTATCTCTTTTCCTGAGTTTTGAAGTTTACCAAAAATACCAGTTTTGGTTCCAGAAAACCAGATCATAAGAGGTCTGTTGGCCGTGCGGAAAACATTTGACAATGGGAACTTTTTGGGATCGGGAAACTTTTATCATAAGTCTTTCTATCAAAACATGGATATTTTCTGACGTTGATCTGTTTTCTTCGCTAAATAGGTGTTCGTACGATCACTTTTCACTACTAGGGGTGGCACATTTTCTTTACTGATGCGTTACTTTACTGAGTAAAGCAACGCTTTCAAATATCACCGTATGAGTGACGAACAACCGAAAATGTATTGTTTTATCACCTTCCAGACACAATGCGACTAAAGCGTTACTATATTATGCGTTACTCGTTACCAGTAAAGAATTCAGATATGAAATTGAAGAAAAAGAGAAGGTGGAATACAAATAGTGAAAATAATTACGGTGAATGATTACCGCGAGGATTTTAGATTTTAAGGTTTCTCACATTTTGAACACTCACCTGAGGAATAAGTAAATGTTTACCTCATCTCATGAAAAATATACCGTAGTTAAGATAGTTCAGATGACTGTATTCTGATCCCTCTAATTAACCACTGTTGTATGACAAGTTGTTATTCTCAGAAAGTTTTCTTACTCAGCCTCTAGAATTTATGACAATGGTAAAAAAAAGAAAAAGCAGGATAGTGCTTTTAAGTTTCGAATGATTTATGCAGTTATTGTGATGACGAGTTTTAGCAAAGTTGACTAGCACATGTTTTCATTTTTGCCATTCACTTTTTCAAAAGGTTGTGCCATTGAGAGCTGGAACATTCAGGTCCTAAAAGCACCCGAAACAAGAACTGATCTATTTCGTATTGAGTGTTTTTTCGAATGGTGGATGCTGAATGCCGACATCCGTTCAGAATTAGGTAGCACTGACATAAATCATCAAGAACATTTTATTATCATCACTAGTTCTTGTTTTCACTTTTAATGATATTAACGCTGTTTCCTTGCTGGAATGACGAAAGAATAACAACGCACGTAAGAACATAAAATGCATAAAACGAGAGTGTATCAACTGTAACGGCATTGCCGTTACGGCAATTAGTGACAACGTTCAATAAAAGAAAAATCTGGCTAATACTCCAGCATTGATGCCAATGCCAATAACGATGTTAGTTCAAATGCATGTCTACAAATCTTTGCTCAAAATTTCCAGCATTCGCTGACTCTTCAATACCATGGAGTATTGAACGGCCTTTGGAGAGAGAGAGGCGCGTTGTTTCCGGCAAATGTATCTGGCAACGCTAAAGCTGCTTTCGCTAGCAACAAATGTTCCTGGTACCGCATTGTACCGACGAACTAAATGAGTTAATCATGGTAATGATAATTCATTGTCGATTCAGAATTGTCGAAAATCCGTTGCCGATTGAACAGCTTTCACATAATGGCAAAGTTCCTCGTCGATTGTAAGCTGCTTCTTATTCCCCAGTCTTAATGTACCATTCGATCGTTTCACACCGCACAACACTGATAAATTGTCGAACAAGGCTTTTTTTGCTGCTGCAGTCATTGCTGAGGAAACCTAGAAATAATCAACCGTTTATTGAAGAATATGCAGTCGATTGATTAGTGATGCATGATTATCAATGACATCACACTCTTCCACAATGTTTTTCAAATTGTGACAACTCTTATTAACTAGCACCGTTGTTAAATAGTGGCAAGCTCTTTGTATAGAAGCACAGGTGACAAATGTTAAAATCACAAAATTCTTTTCTACTGCTTCTTTTCATTTGCTAACCCATTGGAAGGTTTTGACAAGTTAGGCATCATGTATTGCTATGTTGCTCTCCGCTACTGTATGAGTGAAAGAGAAAAAAGAAAGAAAAAAATATGCTGCTGCTTTAAATCTTCATGTCACATATGATTCAATGTTAACGTATCAGTAGTATCTAACGAAGAAAATCGAAACCAAAATGTCACACATCTCAACAAAGTAGTGAAATCAAATTAGGAAAAGTGTCTGCTAATGACAATCGAGATTAATGTTCACATTCAAACTGATTGCATAATTTCTTCTTTTATTAATGCATTTTTACGTTCTTAGTCAACGAGTCAGTGCTCATTCGAACACGAGTAGAAGAAAAACACACATATAAACTACTCACCGGTATCACCGGCGGCAAAGAATCGTCCTGTCGTTTCTTCATTGCTTGGGCAACAAACCTTTTTGCCACTTTGATGTCATTTTTGGTCATGCAGTGGTAGGACGTAGGATGTAGGATCAAGAAAAGCTGCCACCTAAGAAAACAAAGCGTGAACTTCTATAGTTTCTTTGGTGATCATATAAATGTAATTCAAGCAAGAAAAGTCTCAATGAATGCCTACTGTGAATTTATGTGAAGTACTCAGTTATTCTCGTTAGTTGCGAAGAGCAATGGATCTTTCCTCTTTCGCTTGCTTCCACAAAGAAATGCTCAGAAAAGTTGAGCATATCTATTACGCGCATCCATGTTTTTTGAGCAGGCGACATTTCTGTGTCGGAGCATGTGATGCATGTCAGCTGACTGTAGTAAAAATCTATAATAGTTCATCTTTAGTAGTATTCATAGTCATTATCAGAACAAAGAAATTTCGACTATCTCCGAGATAAGTCTTAGTCAAAAGACGAATAAATTATTCACGTGCAACACCAACCTGGTCACAAATTTTGCATTTGAAGCCATTGTCATCATAGATAAAGTGTTCAAGCACATCGGCTCGGCTAGATCCCTTGTAATTCGAACGGCTATTACTATGATCCGTACGAATTTCATCTTCCGAGTCATCGATTGCCGGCTGTCCCGATTTCTTAACTGCCGTTGGCCGTGCACGTTCTTGCTGCAGATTTTATGTAGTCTCCTCATCCGTTTCTTGATTGTTCATTTCAACATTGTGCGGATCAACAATCGGTGTAAAACGTTTATTGACAGACGAACTTTGTTTTCTTCTCGTACTTGACCTTCGCGGTATAGGCGATCCATCGCAGGGTACATTAACGCCACCCGAATGAGTCCGGTGAAGCGAACGATCGGATCGTATTTTGACTGATACACGAGAATGTGCACGTCGCCGTTGAACAGAAGAACGAGTGGCTGGTGTTTGAACACTGTCCGGACCATTTTCGAAAGATGAGGTGTCATTCATGCTTCCAGTGTCTTCTGTTGTACTAGTCATGGTCAATCTGACGATTCGAAAAAGGTCTAGAATGAATACTTATACTTAGACAAAGAGAAATATTCACGCCATCACTGAACGCAAACGATGAGAACTCCAGACAAAATGAGTTGTTTGCTGCCTTATGTTCGAAAATCAAAGTAAGATTGCGACCGACTGATGGCAATCAAGGAATCTGCCACAGAAATCGCGTCATTGGGAATACTTTTGTAGATTGCGTATTTAGTCGTACACAGCGAATATCAACCAATTATTACATTGAAAATTTATAGTATTAATATATGAAAAAATTGTCACAAAGATATAACGTTTGATACAATATTTTTAATATACTTTTATTCGTACAATTATTATAAAATTACATAGCTACTTACTATAGCTTACTAACTAAATTAAATAGCTAAACGTTTCGACGTTTACCAACGTCTTCATCAGTAGCAACATATTTTAAAAAATTTTTACATTGAAATCAAAAATACACGTCTGTAGTTTGATGTTAAATCTACAGTTATGGTCTTTGACGAACAATTTATTTCTAACTATATATTTTTCTCTCTCTCTTTTCTTTCCGTCTATTTCTTATTTTCCTTTTTCTCATATATGACTTCACATATGACGAAGAACTAAAACGAATAATCAAAATGAAACGAAATAAGAGATAAATGATGTGAAAACATGAAAATAAACTAGTCAAGTGACATATCAAACTCTAACCAAAAAATCACATCGAAGAATCGGATCAAAGTGGATCTTCCATCTCATAAAATCGGGGACAGAGCAGGGCAATCATATCGGTGCCTAACTCCATCTGTGTTTCTTGTCTGCTCGACATAATGTTAGTATTTACGCTGTCGACAGCAAGCAACAACCAATATCAAAGATTCCATCACTGACAGACATCTACGAAACGAAGAGCATTGTACGAAAATCTCCAGCTTCAATTTTCAATAACGTTAGAACCTTTGAATAGTCGTTCAAGTGGCACATTTTCACAAATAAAACCTTGGTGTTGCTCGTTATTGAATTTAAGAGAAATTTTCGTTTGAAAGTGATGATATAGGGTAAATGAATTTCTGACCATTTGTAACTTCAAGACAGTATATCAGAAATTTGCATAATATATATATATATATATGTATACAAAAAACGATTAGTTATCACCAGAGATTTCAGCACTATCAGCAAGAACAACTAGGGGTATCCAGAGAGTGCTGAACACCTTACATTATAACCAGATGTTCACAGTAATACCATAGCAGCCACACAGTCGCACGGAACTGAAGGGGTAAGAATATTAACACAAACAAAAACCGTACATAAAGGCAATTTTACTCGCTGTATTTATCGAAGGAAGCTTAACTGAAATCAGAAACTCAATCGTGACAACAATAGTTATATCAGCAAGAAACATATAAGTATTTATTAGTTTGACTTGTATCATAAGCGTTACCCGAAGTTACTTAAACGCAGTAACGTATGCGTTACTCCATCACTGGTAACGAGTAATGCAGTAACGCCACCCCTATTCACTGCTATTTGGATATTTATCGAATAGATAGAACTTTTGTTTAGAAAACGATAACTTGATGAATTACATTGTTTAACAGTTTTCGGATTCGGATATTGAAATTGAAGAAAAAGAGAAGGTGGAATACAAATAGTGAAAATAATTACGGTGAATGATTACCGCAAGGATTTTAGATTTTAAGGTTTCTCACATTTTGAACACTCATCTTCCTCTGTTCATTCAATA